TGTGTGTGTGTGTGTATATAAATAAAAGAAGAAGTTGAATATTAAACATGAAGCATTTCCTGAGATTCATTATAGAACACAGAGTGAATGAAATGCATCTTTTCTCTTAACTGTTCACTTATTAATGGTGATTGCAGTTGATCCTGGAGCTGTGTCGTTCTGATGAGACCGCGGACCTGCAGGTTATTCAACCACATCTCGACCGGATGCAGAAGCTCAGATCACTGTGGAGCGTGGAGGTGGGTGAAAACCTTTTTTTGTCATGTGTTAAAACTGCTGTGACGTTTAGTATTCCTCGTTAAAATCTGAAGTTCCACGATGACCTCTTCTGTTTTAAATTCTTTACTTGTAGAATGCTGAACCGGTGTCAGACTCTCATTTCATGGGCCTAGTCCAAAATCTGCTGAGAGATCCCGAAGAGAGAAGAAATTTCTTCATGGTGAGTTAAAACTGAATACGGAGACAATGTGATTGCTGGCAGGTCCTTGTTAATATGATCCCTTTTGAGGAAAAAATAAAATAAAATTGTACGTTTGTATTTGTTGCCTTGAGCAAATGTTTTTTGTAATTTGGCTCTATATAAATAAAACTGAATTGTGTTGTAGGATGTTTTCCCTGGAGACTTTGGTCCCACATATGACAAAGCAATCCAGACACTGATGTGGTTGTTTCTGTCAAGACTGGAAAAGCTTCTTCCAACCAAAACTCTCCAACAGGTAAATGTAATGTCTTATATTGAGCAAAGAGCATTTCTCCCAGTAGTATTAGTTTCTTTAACATTGTTAGTTGTTTTGTGATCTCTTGCATTCAGTTTGCAGCTCTGAGTAGTGAAAGGCTGTACACACACAGTTCAACTCATTTGCCAAAATACTTCATTTTACTTTAATTTATTTGTTATAATAGGTCTATCATCCCACAGACAAAGTCCATCTTCACTGTCTGTCATGGCTGCTGGTGATGGTACTTTTCCTTCTTGATATGCAGCCTCAGGGAGCTTAGAGAAGTGACTTTACAAACAGTTCTCAATCTGTTCCAGGGTTATGTTAGACTGACCCTCCAGCTTATAGTAGGTCTACAGAGCAAAACAAGAATATGAACAAAAAAATAAGAATTGTGTCAAAAGTTTAGAAACTGCAGAGCTTTTGACTCTTATGATTGGTATTTTACTTAAGCTTTTGTTTCATCAGATTGCCTCTCTGCTCAACGACACCTCATCTGTTCTGAATGAATGCATGGGGGCTTTCTCTCAGCCTCAGGAGCTCAAAGTCTTGCTTGACAATCAAAAAGATCTCACCCAATTAGAGGACATTGGTGAGTTGAATATTTTAAAACACGGGATCAGTTCTCAACATGTTTTTTTCCCCATAATCTGTTTTATTCATTCATGATTCTTGTTCCTTTCAGAGTCTTTCATCGTTGACAGTGGCATTTTGTCTGCCCTGTGTCTCCCTCCTGTGGAAAGAGTCGTGATTGTCAATGAGCAAACTGAAACGGATGCAGAGAGCAGTCTCGTGTATACTGTCTGCACAGAGATGGAAGTGGAATCTGAGAACAAAGAGGTGTATGTGGAGGGGACTGGGAACTCTGAGGAGTGTGTGCAACCTGAGTGGTTTGGCCTCACTGGTGAGGTAAAACCAGAAATTGATGCAGTGGTAGTTATGGATACTGTGGAAGGCACTGAGGCCAGCGAAAGCGAAATGGCAGAGGACCGCAATGACAACCAATCAGGAACACTGATCATCGGCGAGGATGGCCAGGTGACTGTGCTGGATGGTGTGGAGAAGAAGCCAACCAGACGTGGGAGAAAAAAGAAACGTCCTGTAGATGAAGACTTTGAAGCGGAAAGTGCAGTGATGGGCAAAAAGGAAACACCAGAAAGTGACGCACTGTTAGAAAGATCAGTGCGTAAGAACAGAGGGCTCAAGATGAAACGGTACTTGTCACAGTGGAGGAAATCTGGGAAGACACCGGGCTCCAGTACGACCAGCAGTGGACCCAAAAAGTTTGCCGGGCCCCAAGGTCCAGCCAAAAGCAACGACTTGGATGAGAGAACCTGTAAAGTCTGCAGCAAGGTTGTGAGTCATGTCAAGTTCTTGCAGCGACACATGAGTCAGCACTCCGAGGAGCTGCCCATTACATGTCCTTCATGCAAAAAGCTTTACAAGAGCTTACGTTCCTTGCAGCAGCACAGATGTGCAAGCATGACAAAGGCAAAGGCTGTTAGGAAAGCCAAGGAGCAAGACACCCCAGCAGGCGAAGGCGAACAGTCATCAAGCGGGGTTCCTTGCGACGACACAAATGAAGAGCAGCCAGTTGACAATACCTCCCAAGATCCTGATTACTCTCCCCCTGCAGAGAGGGCTTCCAAAGAACCAGGGCAGAAGAGCCCTGAAGAACAGAAGAGTGTGTTAGAGGGTCCATTCTACTGTCCTCACTGCAGTGTCGAGTTCAAGTGCAAACAAACATTTAGGTTCCATTTAAGAAACATTTGCTACAATGAGCAGCAGGTTGATCCTGAGAAGCCTGACGATGTTAAGCATTGTTTCAGGTGTGATGAATGCGACAAGGCGTTCAGATACAAATCAACTTTAGATTCCCACAAACAGACTCACAACCCGCTCTACTGTGAGGTGTGTATGAAACTGGTACGTGACTCAGAAGCATTGGCCATGCACAAAGAATCCCACACACCTTTTCAGTGTAACCGCTGTGAGGAGAACTTCCCAGTGTTCAAGGCCCTTCATAAGCACTACATCGACGTCCACAACCCCACCGAGCCATTTACCTGCTCCCACTGTCAGACTACATTTGCCAGTTTGAAGCGTTTCATTAGACACGAGTGGAAGCACACGGGTTACCAACCATTTCAGTGCTCCCATTGTAGTAAAAGATTCCGTTCATACTCTGATCTTGTGGAGCACCAGAAAAAACACACTAAGGCATACCCATTCCTGTGCTGGGAGTGCGGCAAGAAATTCCGGCACGGCATCACGCTGACGAGACATGTGGAGCGTGTGCATCACTCTGGAGAACCCGTGACTGAAAAACCTACGCCGATCTTTACCTGCCCTCAGTGCGGGAAGACGTTCACTTCAAGAAGGTGCCTCCTGAAGCACGACAATTTTCATCACAAAGGGCTGCGCTTCCCGTGTGAGCACTGTGGGAAGGGCTTCTTTGGCAAGGACGCGTTGGTGAGGCACACTTTGATTCACACGGGCGAAAGGCCTTTCAAGTGCGACGACTGCGACAAGTCATTTAGATCTGCAGCAGAATTAAAGATACACAGGAGATACCATACTGGAGAAAGGCCATTTAAGTGCAACATCTGTGAAAAGGGCTTTGTTCAATCTTGCTTTCTTACTTTACACATGCGAACCCACACTGGAGAACGGCCATATGTTTGTGCAGTGTGCAATAAGGGGTTTTCAAGCCTGCATGGCTTAAAACGACACAGGAGACTTGTTCATGCATAGATCATTGTGACATAATACATATTTCCAAAAGGATTTGTAGCTTAACCAGCCCATGTTGGTGTTAGGTGTAGACCAGAACTTTGCAAAGAGTGAAGAGCTGATGATTTGGCCTATCCCTGAAAGGACACCTTTGTTGATGGTGACGAAGAGATGGACAAAGTTTTCCAGTTGAAGGACATTTTCTGTAAACTATCAGCCTTATTGTTCTTCCTATGGCTGGCACAGCTTTGGATTGCTAGAATGTGTGTAATTGCGTTGTGCATTATGAAAATGTAACTTGTATTTTTTACAGAGACATTTGTTGTTCTACATAAGATTTGTATGTATAAATGGGATGACCCTTAAAGGTCCCATATTATATTTCTTTTGTTGTCTCTTTATTCCTGGTTTTGAGCTCTGCTTTAGCAAGTGCAGCTTTAAGATGAATTAGAAATGCAGTTGCCTATGCATGTTTCAGGGGAAGGAAACGCAGACACCCACACCAATCACTGTTTATTAGTTAACTCTTTTTTTTTTTCTTTTCTCACAGTTTCTAATATTTTGCTATCACTTTTTTTCCCCCACATAGCTGTGACCTGTGTTTGTTTAAACCAAACTGATATTCGGATTAGCGACTCACCATGCTAATGTGATTTTTTTTATTTTTTTTTTCCCCCTCCTCATTTTGTAGTGGTGACATGCGAACAGAATGTAAAAGTAAGCCAGTGAGTGTTTAGGTATCACACAGGGTTAGGTTACTAGGTTATTTGGAGGCTTACTTGTCACACAACATCACATCACAAAACACAGCTTTTTGTTTACAGCTGTTTGACATATTAAAACAAACACAAAAGGCACACAAAATAACCTCTGGCGGCTGGGATATAGATCAGGAGTTTGCAGTCTTTGAGGAAAAATGACTGTTTGTCAGCAGTCTTGTGGCTTTTTACTGAGAGCACAAATTATTTTCAGTTCTTTGTCAGTAGGGGCTGTCAAACAAGCCTCACATACTCTAAATGTAGTCTTCATTAAAATTTATATGGGTCTCTTTGTTGGGTTAGAGTCCATGTTGGTAGTCCTGTTTGGACCACCAACCTGGAACTGTGCTGACAGCCTATGGTTTAGTACATCAGACGACCTAATGCTAGAAGACTAGGCTTCAATGACTTCTGTGAAAATTATGCAGTGAACATCAGAGCATCTACATCAACCTACACTTACAATGTAGGCAACATTCTGTCCTTTCACTAACTTTGAAATAAACTGGCTGGTGGAAAAAATTCTTATAGCTTGTAAAGCTAAGAGGCCATCTAGTTGTGAGGTTGCTAGACAAATAGCAGTAGTTACATTTTCACAGCTTTGATTTTACACCTCCATGATTATAAAAATGTTTCCACTGAAAGTGGGTTTCATGGGACCTTTGATTATGTTTTTCTGTAATAAATTGAACATTTGATTCCAAGTGTCAGTTATTTAACACAAGTAATTTCAATATCATATCATCTAGTAATAGGATGGGGGAAAGCTGGCCAAAGATGCAGATGAATCCCAGCTGCAGTCGGGAACACACAACTTCAGAGTCTTAACAATGTTACATTAACTTCACTGTCTGCTGCATCTTTTCAGTTAGTTCATTGATTTCTGATGTATAAAATGCAAATTGTAAGTTGTTTTGCCCCAAATCCAGCAAACAACCTGTCCATGTGGGAAAAACACCAGTGCAGCTATCTGGCCAGTCAGCCCGTAATGCTGGTGACTTGTTCATCTTTGTTGTAAAGCAATAACACGGTGGATTGTGATGGATCGGTGGTTTCTCGTAAACGTAGGAGAGTTTTTATTAGAATGTTATAAATTTTACAAGTGACTGCATTGTAAACCACAAAAGTTTTATAGGCACAGTTTGAGATAAACTTAGACAACCAACAGTCAACCAAAGATAGATAAGTGAAATAAGGTTTTTGTATCATAATCTAAAGGTTTTAAAATTTTAGATGACCTAAAAAATGAAAAGCTGCATCAGGCATATGTCTGCTTTCAGCTGCTCTGTTTAGGAAGCCTTCATCGTGACGTGTCCAGAGGATGCTAAGAACAGTCACAGCAGCTCTCCTGATGTCCTCCTTCACAACGTCCATGAATCTCCTGTGTGGTCTTTCTTCAAAAAGGATTTTGCTGCAGCACTCGTAGGAGAGTAGCCTTTAATGGTTAGTTGCCAGCTAATTTGAAAAATGCTGACACAATCAGAAATAACAGTCATAAATTAGCATTACTACTATTGTAAATAAAGCATTTTAATATGTGACTAGCTAGTTATCAACTTTACCATGTTTGTTGCATTTATGAAATTAGAAAACCTAAATAATTACAATTATTTAACAGAATTTGGAAATGGCAGAAGAAAATAGCTATTAGTAAATTCAGGATTACTAAACTAACTTGGTGTTAAGCATTTAGAACATTTTAGAGAATGTAAAGGATTGCTGGCAAAAATAATAAAATTAAAATTTTAACAAAATATACCATTGTCGATTTCTATGTCCATATGGGACCACTGGACTGGAATAATTGCTCTTTGGTAGAAGTCAGTGCAGTGATAAATCATCAAAAAATGCCAAATTAAAAGAAGGTGATATATCTAGATATTTCATAGGTGAGTATAAGTGACTAAGACCCTAATCCAGGGGTCTGCAACCTTTAACACCCAAAGAGCCATTTGGACCCGGTTTCCACGCAAAAAACGCTGGGAGCCGCAAATACTTTTTGAAATCTAAAATGAAGATAACACTGTATATATTGTTTTGGTTTTTTTTTTACCTTTATGCTTTGTGTGAACAACTAAAGTAAGTAAGTAAAGTTTATTTATTAAGCGCTTTTCACAGACAGGCAGTCACAAAGCGCTGTACACAAATATTAAAATAATCAATAGACATTATACACAAAGTAAAAGATTTGGGCACCACAAAAAAAGAAATGAAATAAATATTTAGTGTATATCAATGTGTGTGTGTCTCCTATATGATATATGGGGTGCCTTTGTCTGGACGTGCTTCCCATCCAGAGCTCCACAGCAGAGAGGAAAGTTCCAGCGCTCCTGGAATCCCTCTGTGATGGACCACCAGTCTCCAGGTGAAGGCACAGCCATGAAGTCGTCCACTAGACAGTCCCAGATGGCCGTCGCTACCTGGGGGGTGATCTGGCACACCGTGGACACACCGACTCTGAAACTGAACACGATGGTCCTGAAGGAGTCCCCGGTGGCAAGGAACCTGGACAAAATTGTTCAAAATTAGTATTATGTGTACTGCAGTTACAAAATACATTATTCAAATTCCAAAATACTTTTGTGATGTCAGTTTTAAATTACAAAACATAAATCTTACATAAAACATTTTGTAATTATAAGGATAATTACATAATATATATTAGATATAATATAAAACAGTTGTGTTTTGTTTTAACTTTAACATATCATAATTTGATTGGTAGCAACTTTTACAACTACAGTGAGCCAATCACTCATAATTCCTAAACATGTCAATCAGGTAGGAATGAAGTAAGACATTAATAGAAATAAAGAGTTGTATGTTGACATGTAGCCCTTTCCTTACTTAAATCATTGTTAATATTTTTGAAAAATGAACCAAACTGTTCACAGTTTTATCTAGCGCTCAGTTTTAAGAAAGGCTGGTGAGCCCTGTTATAGAGTCTGACAGCTGCGGGGATTATATACAAATATTCATCTATACCAGAATTAAACCAGGTCTAAATAAACAAAAAGGAGTGAGTATCACTACAAAGGTTAACCCACAATGGTCCTCATACCACAGTTTGATATCAGGAAACACCAAGAGCATACACTGATATGACACCACAGCCATGCTATCATTGCAAACACTGATAACAGCATAAATCGAATTAAATCAGGACTTGATGAGTCTAGTATCACTAGAAATATTATAAACAGTCCACAGTTTGCTATCAGTAAACACCGATGGTATTCACTGATAGCATACTACATCCATGTTAGCAGTGTATAAACAATAGTTTAGCATATATTAGCACAAGTATCAATAAAGGACTACCGTACTGCATGCAGATGGACAGGTGCTCTGCAGGTGCAGCTCCTTGAGCAAATGGTGAAACTCACCAAACTGCTCACGCCTATGGAGGACCTGATGGACCCAGGTACGGCGAGGACCTTAACGCCGCTGCTCTGCTCTCCACAGTAAATAGAGAAGGGAGACTCTCTCTTCGCTAAGCTAGCTCGACAGCTGCCATCTTGCAAACATACCGTCTGGCACAACTTCCTCCCACATTCCCGGTTCACGCGAGTCAAAATTGCATATTTTGACGCGCGATTGATTCGCATTGGACATTAGTGATGCGCGAATCATGAACGAATCGTTCAATACTCGAGAATCACTTTACTGACTCATGAATCATGATTCACAAGCCCAACTGACTCACTGACTCATCCTTGTTGCTGTTAGCAGCAATGTATCTAGCTTATAATTAAAATTGTGGAGAAAAACAACATCCAGTATCTTAACAAAAAATTTCCTGCTCTGAACTGGAAGAAAAAACCCTGAGTAGAAGCTCACATCAAGAAAATAGCTCCTCGGTTCACAGTAGCATCGCTCTGCTAACATGCTAACAGCACATTTGAGCTACTCACCCCCTCCCTCCTGTGCTGAATCGTAAGCGAATCACTCAGGACTCACTCACCCCCTCCCTCCTGTGCTGAATCATAGAGCGAACGAATCACTCACTCACTAACCCCCTCCCTCCTGTGCTGAATCGTAACTGAAAAGCGATTCATTTTGGTGAGTGACTCATTAAAACTCGATTCAGTAACAAGAAGCAAATTTACCATCAGTATTGGACATGCGTCGAGCTGCGAATTTGCACGTGTCAAATTTAGGGCGTCTGGCGCGTTTTTGTTCGCGTACTATCACGTTCGGTGTGAACATAACTGAACACTGATGACGTTTTATTTTTGCTGTATTTATACATTCATGTTTCACTTCGAGAACTGCCACATTAGGCTATGTAATGCTACAGTTCCCTATTAGATAAAGATGAGCGACCCTCCAGGATTCCGCTGATCATAAACCAGTTGTTGTGTTGGTCTAAATTTCAAGTTTTCTACCACGGCTTACTAAATTCATTTTAAAATGCATCACCCCAGATGGGACTCGAACCCACAATCCCTGGCTTAGGAGGCCAGTGCCTTATCCATTAGGCCACTGGGGCTATATCGGCGGTGAGTTGTCATATCATTTCTAATACAATATTTTAATGCACTTTTGTGACGGTAAATACAGATTAAACTGTGGTGCTTGGTATATATTACGTATAACTGCAGGGCAATAGAATGGGATTGC